TCTCCTATATTCTAACACCTACCTTCAATTGCCAGAAAGATTCAGTGAATCAAAGACAATGCAGATATCCTTCTCCTCATGGCTGCTTAGCTTTGGTTTACTACATAAAATACACAGGACTTGATGCAGCTTTAGTTGTTTTGAATATATGTTTTAAAAGCTGAAACTGGGGCCCAAACTAACCTTACCACCACCACACACACAAAATCACTTTCCATTAAAAATTGCAAATGTTCATCTTTCAAAAATTAGTAATCTTCCTCAGACTGTTGAAGACTGCTTCCTTCTCCCAGTCTATTAACATATGATGTGCAAAGGACCACTTTTGGATCAGAATAAATGAAATTTTCCACTGTGTTAACAGTCTGAGGAAGAAAGTACAGTGGCACAGTGCTCCTTTCACTTACAAACCACATAATTAATATTCCTTTATTGTAATTGTACATATCCATGCTTCAGGTCATTTCCCAACTATTGCATCCAGCTGGGCTCAGTGAGAACTTCAGAATGTCTTTCCTATCTTAAAAACGATTCCAGTACACAAATAAGCAAATACTCTCCCGATGTAGAGCCTCATTCTCCAGATGTTTTCATATATGCATAACTCCACTAAATGCAGCTCCACTGAAGCAGAAAAAAAATACTGACTGTAGCAAAACTAAGCAGAATTGCAAGAGTATATAGGACAAGTATCTTTGGACTTACGAACAGGAAATGACAGGACACCTCTGTGTCCTGAAAAGTAGCACAGAATAGCAGCCTACTAGCCTTGCACACACATTTAATTCTAAGATTACTATACTTTCAAGTATGATCAGATATCATAGCAAGGTTTGGGTTGAAAGGAACCTGTAATAACATCTAGTTCCAACCCCCTTGCCATGGGCAGGGACACTGTCCACTAGACCAGATCCAATCTGGCCCTGAACACTTCCAGGGATGGGGCACCCACAGCTTCCTTGGGCAACTTGTTCCAGGGTCACAGCCCATTACAAGTAAAAAACTTCTTTCTTCTATCTAATCTCAACTTACCCTCTGTCAGTTTAAAGCCATTACCCCTTGTCCTATCACTACATATAATGAAAATCAGTGTACCAATAAAAGATGCATGTTTTCATAGTCCACCTACACAATTATATGACATTAGCAGTGGTCTACAGAGCCTCTGTATTAATCCAAAGAAGGAAAAACAAACAGGAATTGTAAGAACACTTCAATCCCATAAATACATTTGCAGTTTGGAACTAGTATTTCCTAAACCATACTTACAGATATTTTAGCTATTATAACAAGTGAAAAACAGTGTAGCCATAAATGTATCTGTAGATTAAAGCTGTTAACTTTATAGAGAAGAAGCACTGATTTAAAGCTTTAAGCTCTCCCCTTGCACACTTAATTTTAAAATTCAATATGAAAACCAAATACAGTATTTATAAAATGGCAAACATGCTTCAAATTCAGTCAGTAACTGGAATTTTCTAAACTGCAACTGTTACCACTTTTTATTAGATGTAAAACCCCACACTTTCCTTTCTCTAGGAAGTGGGGATAGAAAATAACATCAATTAAAAAACACTGATGATATTACTACTCTATATAATATCCTGTAAAAACACAAGAGACTGCCTTGACTGCAAACACTCCTGCCAAGAAAGGCTCTAGTAAGTGCTACCTTTGATTACCGTCTTCTGATTGCCGAGTTCTACAAAACAACTAAATATGAAGAAACTATTTTTCATTTCTTATGAGGGTTAGTCTATAAAGCATGTAACTACACAGTATAACACCACAATATAGTTATTAAAAAAGGCTCTAAACCAGCCAATATTTATTGTTAGTGAAAAATACAGAATACTAATTCAGGTTATTAAATGTTGCAGTATGCCTAAATTCAGACATATCATTCAAAAAAATAAGAAGAGAGAAAAGTTTATTTAGTCTTTGTGGTTATAAGTGAAACTACTGTATCTGTAAAAATAAAAAAAAATAGGTATTACAATGCCTAATATTTCCAATAAAATCTGAACTTTGGCTGCACTGAGCCTTCCAAGAATGTTACAAGGCAGATACAGCAAAACACTCTCATCACCTAAGTGATAATGGCTAAATTTTATTATTTATGAGAAATCAGTAATTGGTTAAATAAAGGTTTATTAAAGATAACTCACCACCATCCCTCTCTCTAACTCTGTGAGTATGCACACTTTTTGCTTTACTGTGCCCTGTGTTGTCACCATATTTGTTTTCAGGGCTGTCAGAGCGCCGCAACATTTTATTTGGTGGCGAAGGGTCTGTGGTGTCTCGCATCTTGTCATGACGGTGATCACCACCACTGGGGTGACTCTTGGATGAGTATTTAAGAGCCTGTAACAGATCACAAGAGAATAGACATTTACATTAGATAAGAGGTTACAAAGCTGATGTTAAAATGTCATTTCTAAATCTTAGATCTTTCCAAAACCCTGTTTAAAGTTAACTTTCATTTTCTATTTAAAAAAATCAGCATTAGTTTTTTAGTAATTTTAATTACCTCCATTAAAGCAACAAGTTCTGTAATTAGAACTCAAACCATTTTTTCCCACTATTACATCCTACATAAACACTTGGCATTAAGAAAAAAGTTACTTCTCAGCTTTTCACTGCTGGACTACAGACTTTCAGAGTACATGGGCCACAGCACTTCTGCAGTTCTGGGAGAAGCACAAGTCCCTACCTGCTATCAAGAATACAAACAGAAAGCTGCACTGCATCAGTGAAAATTTTGAGTATGTTCTCTATACTGTAGTCAAGGCCATTCGGTTTAACTACTACCATGAACTTCAGTGACATTTTCTTCAGTCCTAGCAACCCTGTAGCAGATGTAACAGAAAAAAAAATAGAATTCTGGGGGCACACAACATGTAAAGTGACAATTCATTCTGAAGTATTTACCAAAATTACACGTTCTGCCTCACTTTAACTAGCTTGATTTTTGCAGTGTGAGTTTCTGAGAGGCAAGTGTTTACATTTGCACAAACCGTCACTGTCAGCTGCCTTGGACTGTCAGATTACACTTCACAGTAGTAGGAATAAAGCAAAATGTAATAAAACAGTTCAATTCTGTGCCCTGAGGAAAGCAATATCATAGTATACGGCATTCCTCACATTCACACTCTGAGACCTGCTGGATTTTTTTTCAGTAGACACAGCAGAGAAGTACAGTAGTCATCTCACAGGAACTGAGGTTATTGTCAGTAACTTAAGGATTTGACAGATTCTGAACATACCTAGCAGCTGGCAACTTCAGAAATTAAGCCTTACTAGCAACCCCAGTTATTCAGGATCTAAAACCATGCCCTGCTCAGGTTACAACGCACAGCAGCAGTTTTGGGGAGAAAAAAGGACTTGGGGAAGGGGGGTGGGGGAAGAACAAGATGCCTTTTGTTTTTGAAAGGAAAACACTCACCTCCCCCTGGGTCTCCACTCCACTGCAAGTGACCCCGGCTCGCTCTCCCGCCCCTCGTACCGTATCCTCTCCTACTCTTAGGCCCAAGCTCTACACCGGTCGCACTAGGCCTCTCCTCCTCGCCCCGGCGCCGCAGGCTTCAGAAAAGCGCCGGAGCCCCGTTCCCTCCGCGCGCTGCTGCCACCGCCCCCCGCTTTTGCTCCCCCCGGGCTCGAAACGGCGTCGAGGGACGGGACCGAGGCGTCTGTGGCACCGCGGCCTGCAGCGGCGGCCTAAGCCTCCGCTGGAGTAGCTCCCCCCCCCCCTTCTCCTCCCCTGCTCCTCCTCCTGGGCCTAGCGGCCGGCGCTTGAGGTACCTGGTAGGGCTGCGAGTCCCCCCTGCGGTCGTGACAGCTAAAGAGAAAGCGAGAGAAAGAGACGTTAGCGAACAACCGTTACCGGCCGCCGGGAAAGGGGGCCCAAACATGGCGGAGGGGAGGGGGGAGACCCCGCGGGGCCAGGGGCCAGAGAAGGAGGAAGAAGGGATTTACCCATCACTGAGTCTCTGCTGTTTCCTCGCATACATTACCATCAATGCCCGGCCTGTGTGTGTGAGTGTGAGGGGACCAGGAGGGGACGGCCGCGGCCGGGCCACAGGCGCCGAGGGGGGAGGAGGGGGACGCAGCGCTCCGCCTCGCCGCCGACCGGGGGCAGGGAAGGGGGAAGGGAGGGAGGGGGCGGCTCAGGCAGCTCGGCTGGGAGCAGCGCTCACGGGCCCATCTCCTCCGCGCACAACAAGAGGGGAGACGCCAGCAACTCGGCCCCGCGCGCGCTGAGACACTCCGGGAGCACGGACTCCAACGCCGCCGTCGTCTCCACCACCGGTGCCGCTGCTGCCGCCGCGGCTGCCTCCTCCCCCCGCTGCGCCCGCCGCCGCCGCCGCTGCTGCTCCTCCAACTACATCCGGGAAACTCGGGCGACGCCGCGCTCGGTTAACGTCGGCTCTTTTCGGCTCTTTCCGACACGCTCCGTCCCCTCTGTCCCCTTTGCTCTCGGGCGACTCTGCCTTCGGAAAACATCGGCTACCTCCGCCGAGCCCAACGCCCTTCAATCTCTCCGTTCGGCAAACATCGTCTCGTTCCGTAACTCTCCTCCCTCCCTCCTCCTCCCCCCGGGCGGCCCGCCTCGTCGTCCTCTCCCGAACACTACCTGTCTTCGGAAAACATCGGTTATTTCCGTAGAGATGTTTTCACGCTCCCGTCAGGGTGGCGCTCTATTCGGAAACGCTCGGGTATTTCCGTGACCCCTCACCCAGCGCCTCCGAGGCACTGCCGGTCGGAGCAGCCGTTGGCCGGGCGCGCCGGGCTGATTGGCTGAAGGAGCCCGGGGTCGCGCTGTCGGCAGGGCCGTGCCTCGCCGCCCGCCGCTTTCCCGCACGGGCTGGCCAAGAGGGAGGAGGGCTACGCTGGGCGAGCCAGCTTTCTCGGTGGGAGCCAGCAGGGCGGGAACGCCAGGCAGGTGGGGGCAATAGGGAGAATTGCGAGAGAAGCAGCGAGGGCGGGGAGAGCGGCGTCCGGGTGTGAGATAAGAACGTGGAACGTCTCCTCTTACCTACCTCATCCTCCCTTTCCGCCCAGGCGCTTGATGTATAGGCAGGAACCATTTTGTGTGCTGCTCGTCTTCTGCGAGGAAGCGCTTAGCGGTGAGGAGGTTGTAAAAATGTCCCTGGGGTGGTGGCCGGGCGGATCAGGCCCAGCCGCCAGGCCCCTGTGGCGCTGGCGCCGTCTTCTCCAGATCCGTGATGGCGGGGCCCCGTTCCCGGCCCTTGCGGAATCGACGTCGGGCTGCCGCAGCCCTCTGAGGGAGCGAGACGCCGGCGGTAGAGTGGTTCGGGCCCAGGCGCGGGAGGGAGCGGGGAAACGGTGGGTGAGGGGCGCTAAGGGCTGCCTCCGGTGAGCAGGCAGCTCGTACGTGCCTCGGGGCGCGGGAAACTGCCGTTTCGGTGCTCGTGAGGAGGCACCAGCGGCAGATCGGTGTGGTCCGGGTGGCCCCGGCTCTTTTGAGGCAAGCGGTGGCTGGCTCTCAGTGTGCGAGGAAGATCCCCTTCATCAGAGGTCGAGGGGATGGTGGTGGTGGCTGCTGAGGCGTCTTTGGGGAAAGGGTCGTTTAATTATCTCTGACTGAATCCTTGAAGTATGAGGTATCATTCTGTTCAGTATGGTATTAAGGTTTGACAAAACAGAAGTATTTTGATATTGCCGTTAAGGTATCATAGGAGAGACCAGCTTTCGGTAAAGGTGTAGATACCCCATTTTGTCTGGTCCCCTTCCTGGAAAAGGAAGACATACGTGGCATGTTAACCTCCATCTGTGATAGCGTAGCATTGTTCATGGTAACTGTCTTACAGAATTTTTCTTCTTTTTATTTGTTGTGTGGTTTTTGGTTTGGCTTTTTAGAGTGCAGAAAGCTGTTGCAGAGCGGGGACTTCGGGGAGCAGTGGAAGAGTTTTGGGAGGATGACTCAGCAGGGAGCTGTTCTTCAGGGTTACAATAATGAGCTAGTGAAATGCATTGAAGACTTGTGTATGCAAAAAGAAGAACTGAACAAGCAAATCCAGCAAGCAGAAGAGGAAAAAAATAGACTCCAGCATGAAATCCAGATCCTGAGTGAACAGCTGGAGTGTGTATGTGAAAACCTGGCCCAAAAAGTAGCTTCACGGAATGAGCTTGATGCAATTCTTGCTGAAACTGAAGCTGCTTACATGAAGATTTTGGATAGTTCTAGAACTTTACTCAATGTCCTGAAGAAAGAGGTGGGAAGCTTAAAGCATACACCAGAAGTGAAAACCAATGTAACATGAAACAGTCAAAAGTTTGGACTCCACAGTGCTAGAATTCTGCTAGGTGAGAAATGTGGTTAGCCACAGAACTTTACATCAACAGTATAAACAGAGAGGGATTTTTCTTCCAACCTTTCTGTATGTTTTGTTACTGTTTTTAAATGCGTTAGAAAATAGATGAAATAAAGTCGCCTTTTTGCTGTTAAAAAAGACCAATTATTTAAACACTACAAATCTTTAGTGCAAATAGGTAGTTGAGGCAGATGTGATACTATTGATTTTGAAATGTCAGTTTTGAGGCTGTTCTGAAGAAAAGGGAAAAGTACCATTTTTTTTTTATTGGTCATTTTTGGATGGCTGCCAGTGAATTCCCATTTGCTTGAAAACTGATGGGTGCAAGTAGATCAGGTACCTTCCTCTAGGGGTTTGGAGTTTGGTCTGATGCATGCATAAAGATAAGTTCTGTTTGCAATCATCTCTTAATTACCTGGATTAATGGAAGGGTAAGGTGAGAAAACATGATTAATGCAAGGTATGGAGGCTGAACATGTTAAGAGTGTATATGGTTCCTGCATCTTCTAAAGCTATGTTCAAAAGCCTTTAGAAAGGAGGCACACTGTAGTGAAAGACAGGGTTTGCGCTGTCATGCGGGAGACAGCAATGCAGGCAGCCACACCATGTAAACTCCAATTAACTAATCTACTTATGGGTAAGGAAAAGGCGACTGTCTTTAAATAGTGCCTATAAGTCCTGAAGAAAATGCTGGGGTTCAGTCAAAATAGTAAGAGACAAAACAACACCCAAGAAGATAATCTTCACTAAAAACAAATAGTAGAACTTATGGAAACCTGATTTTTAATGGCCTTTAGCTGTATACTGATCTGTCAAATGTACTAAGATTGTGGAGAATAGTGAATAACCTGGAATGGTGAGAAATAAAAATGAAATTATATTAGAAATAGTTTGCAGCTGTCAGACACTTACAGATGAGGTTAAAATAGAACCTAGTTTAGAGATCAGGGAGGAGCAACAGCATGGCAGAAATTTCAGTATAATCCTGTTTTCTATTTCTGGTAGTTACTAAACCTCTCTGTGTTTGTATGTATGTACATACATGTGTATTTTGTCCTGCTTATTCATGTTGCAGTCAAATCTTCATTCTATACCAAGGAACTAAACTGAAAGAAGTGCAATTAACCTCCTTCCTTGATAACTGTCTCTCAGGTGCAAGTACAAGGGGTATGTAGATATGAATAGTTTCAGTAATATCTTTTCACCAACAGTATGGAGCAAATTTTGTGTTCTTCCAGTTGCATGCTACATCAGGGATTAGTGTGAATGAGCTAATCAGCAATTTACTTGTATGGTGTTTCCGCTGGCTTTCCTTGAGTAATGCTGAGGTGATAAATAATCTCAGAAGTTCTGCTGTTGTTGTAGCACTACAGTATTCAGGACTACCTTGTCTATATTGAAATGAAACACAAAAATGTTGATATTTTTTAGTAGCAAAGAAGTGATTTATTGGACTGGATGTTTCTTGACATACTCTCTTCCCTTAGCCTGATAGTAGTAACTAATTTACATCGAAAAAGTAAAACTCAGGAAAAGGCATTAACTAAAGAGCAAGGACTTTTTTTTTAAGGAATTATGTATATATAAACTGCTGCTTCTTATTACCTGGAAGGGAACTTGAAAATGTCTATGTGGAAAAAAGATGTAGGAAGCTCATTTAGAAGACTCATTTATACAGAACAGCACAGTTAATGTCTTATTAGTCTCAGACAATAATTACAGGTTTGTTTGCCTTTAGAATATTTGTAGATTAGGAATAATGCCTCTTCTTGTTGGTTTAGGCTGTTAAAAGAGTTTTAAGAGAAGCCTTGTAAGTTTTTAAGGAAATCTACTTTGTGATCATTATTACATCGAAGTGTAGCTAGTACAATGTTAAAACTGAAATACTGAAGATGGATTGTTTTGGGTCTTTTTTTTTATGTTACAAAACTAAGGGAAAAAAATGTAACTGTTAGCTTTACACAAACCAGGGCCTTCCAACTTTCAAATAAAAAGTTGGAATGCTGTTAGAATTCCATTTAGTGATGCCCATTTGTAAAATTTCTGTTTAAATTGAGATCACAAGTGGAGAGCAATAATATCAAATGTCTGAGGTTTCCCTATTTGTAGAACTCTCAAGTGTGGCAGCTATTGTGCTGTAAGTGCACCTGCAGAGTTGTTACTCTTATCATTCTATTTTGTATTAACCTGGATGAACTTACTGTGTCTTTTTATTGAGGTGGTAAACCTTTTTCAGGTAGTATAAGTCTTGTCATAAATAGCTTTTCTTAAGCAGCTTCAGTTTGTTTAGAATAGAACACATGCAAAGTAAATTAATACACAATATTGTTAGAACAGAAATGATAATTTGCAGATTACAGCAGCTCCATAGGGCTAGCCTGCAAGGGAAAGTTTGCCTGAAATAAGTCGTATGATAAAGTATCATACTTACTCCCGACTTATTTTTTTATATTGATTTTATATGGCACTCTGTGTTAGATCAAGAAATTTATTTGGGTGCTTGAACTCTGGGAGCCTTAATGACAGAAGTTCAGGTTACCTAACTGTAGTGCCTGATCTAAAGTGCTGTGTTGGGTGTCTTGTAGCTTGTCTGGTATGTGAGGAGACAGTTCTTGAAACTCTGACCTGTGCTTGATTCTAAGCTCTAGTGAAATGTATCTAGAGCACTGGATTCAAATTCCTGAATTTGTATAGTGATGCCTCCACTTTGTTTCCAAATAACAACACATAACTGGAGGAGAGATGGTTATTACCAGCTTCTATAGCAATACTTGTTAATACGTACGTACCTAGCACATACAACTCTGGTGATCAACAGATTTTTCAAAACATCCAAGTGTTGACTCTTGCCAAATAAACTAAGTTTGTTATGTATGATAGTTTGGTGGTTACCAAAGAAACTGCTTATGGGTGGTATGCTGAAGTAATTTTCTGTATAGAGGTGATTATACAAACCACAAGGTGAAATCCCATGTATAAGCAGTTGCTCACAATCTGTAACTGTCTCTGCAGAGGCAGTTAGCGTTCAGTTCAGTACAGGTACCTCCCGCACGCAGTTTCTGCTAATCACCTTACCAGGAATGGAGGTGAGTGGACTAGGGTGGGACCTAATTTCTGGGGTGGAGACTAAAGAGAAGTATGGGTATGGCATCTTGGTTTGGGAAGACGAGCATTAAGGGATGTGAGCTATGGTTCCAGCTACCAAATAAATGAAATTTTAGAAATAACCTGAGGTTCACCTAAAGTGTGGACTTTTACCCCTCCTTTACATCCATTGACAAGTAAGCTACAGAGGCAACCTACATTTTGCTTCCTCTGTCTGCTTTTTTTTTGCTTCTTCCTGGCCACACAAGCTCGCATGCTCAGATGTGCTGTGGCTGGTTCCAGCCAGAGGGTGTGGAATCTGAGCCTCCTGTTTGCTAGGTAAGTGTAATGCCAGGTTCACACAGAATACATTACTAGTGTTTCTTATCCTGGTAGATCTCCTGTGAAGGGTAATTGGTGAATGACCTGGGCCTTACAAAGTATCTTAAGTTTTGTCAGTGTATTAGATGCACCCCATGTGAGATTTTAGAAGCCTTGAAGATTTTAGGCAGAAGGGCAGCAATTTGTTGGTAAATGCAAAAGATGTGTTTCCTTGGACTAGGAAGCCTTCAGACTAGGAACACCAGACATCTTCAAACAGCCAAAGAACTGTCCATTCAGACAATGAAGCAGGCTGTAATCTAAATACAGATGATTGGGTCTTGAATTGCAATTTCAGAATTGAGTATCAATTCCATCTAGCTCTTGTGGTATCACTGTGTCTCACTCCAAATGGATTAAGTGGATTAAGATAAATTGGAACAAGGTACTCTTAATTCTGCAACAAGAACATCCAGAGGATTGTTAGCAGGAGGATCCAATGTCTACAGTTAATTCATTGTGTAGAGTCCTGCACAAAAGACCAGTATCTATTACTCCTTGGATGATTTTGCTTGTTAAGAGAAATTGGAGTTAGTAGGTGTAGTTAGTGGCAGTTGGTAAAATTATCCTTAACTTGGAGATGCAGCCTGTGGCAATTGCTAAAATTACCTTTGAGTAGATCCTCAGCTTTTGGGGTTTTATGCAAGAAGTAAATAAAACAGTTCATCTAGGGTTTTTCCTCTTCCCCACCCCTTTTCCTTTTCAATAGTGAACAGAGAAGTATCAATAGATGCTTTAATATTGATTTGTTTGTGTAGGTTGTTATTTTAACAGATAGACAAGTTTTCCTAAAATCAGAGTGTTCATTTAGCTTTGTTTTTGATGGATGTATGTGTTTTTAATATAGATACTTTTATCATTTTATATTTTTTTTTCCTCTGGAGGAAGGACAGATTAGCTTTTGGGTTAGTTTGATTGCTTTGTCAGTGTCTGTTGTGTAACAGGGGAGATAGGGGGTGTGTCCGGCACAGTATCTGCTTCTCCAGCAACTGTTCAAAGACTTTTTTGAACTGGGAATATTTTGAGTTTTTTTTTGGTTTTTGCCCCTTAACTGCTTTATAAATATCTTTGATTTCAGTTGCCCCAGAGTGGTCCTTGACTGTTGTCTTCCTCAGTTGGTTTTCAGATGAAGTTTCATTCAATATCTAGCTGTGAAAGCTAGATGTGTGCAGGTCACAACTTGCTTGCATGTTAGCTGTAAATAAAACATGACGGAGAGGTTCAGACGTGCAGAAAACAGAGCTATATATTATTTGGTCACTCATAGCTTTATCTTACAAGATTTGTGTGAAAGTAGTTCAGTGTTGTAGTGTAATTTTACAGTAACATGATGTTAGAAGAAGTGGGGCTAATAAAACACTTGTAGTCTTTTCAAAAGTAGATTTGCAAGATCTGGTGGGGTAGAACAATTGGAATTTTATTATTTTGTCTATTTGTGCATGACCTGACTATCAATACGCTGCAGTAACCACTACGGTAAGTTAGTAAGTTTTAGTAAAACCTTGGATATCTTAGCAGTGGCATTAAAAATAACGTCAGATCTTTGCATTTTGATTGCAGCAAGCCTGTTCCTTGTTACATCATTGAAAGCTGGTAATATTTTAAAGTATACTTAATTTGAACATCGTAAATGGGAAAATATTACTCTTGGAATAGGGTTCATATGCATTGGT